GCTGAGCTAAATCCCCAGCCCCTCAGAATGCTTTTGTAGATAAACTTCATGGAACTCACACTGAATTTGTTAGTATTTCATTACTAACATGACTCTTCTCCGCCCCATCTTTTTTTTTAGGCAACAGTCACTAGTGTCTTGGAATACTTGAGTAATTGGTTTGGAGAAAGAGACTTTACTCCAGAATTGGTAAGATTGCATTTTTTATTTTTAATGCGAGAACAGTTGGATATACAGTACTTAGATGAGATGTGGCTGCATACTATATTTATGTGTGCGTATGTGTATATATACTTTGAATATTCTTGTTTCAGCCTTTTAGTGTGGGGTTTGGTTATTTAAATTTTGGGTTTTTTAGTATTATCACAGTGTGCTATTGAGTTTAAGAAAACGAATCTTTTAGTGTAAAATTTTAGACAAGCAGTATAGGTTGGAGCAACATCTTAAGTGTGGAGGCCCTTTGAACGCTTGAATGGTAGCTTGACGTAGTAAATACAGTGGTGCCTTGGTTTACGAACTTGGTTTGTTGTATGCTTGGGGGGCAGTGGCCATGTTTGTGTTCGTGTGGGAAGGTGGCCATTCCGTGTTTGTAACCCAGTATGGAGTTTGCCAACGAAAGCAAAATTTCACTGAGCACTTGTTTGTAAACCAAATTGTTTTCAAACAGAAGCATTTGTGAACTGAGGTACTGCTGTCTATCAGAAAGTTTGAGTCAGATTTTAATGGGTAATCTTTTAATATGGAAAATTCTATTTGTAAAAGCAACCTGGATGTGAATCTGTTTAGGAAAAAGTCTTACCACTGATTCAGGATTGCCTGAGGAATTTTGTATGTTGCGTAAGTTGCTGTTTAAAATTTGTTCTAATATTCTTTAGGTTTCTCCAAAGTGATAGGTTGCTCATAATTAAGCTACATTTAGCTGTGGTAGCTTTCTGTGACAGACCATGGTGTCTCCTAGACAGAGCGTGTACTTTTATCTTTGCTCTCCCCTCTTTTCTTACTTTTTATTCAGGATTCAGCCCAAGCCTGCTCTGCAGAGCCAGTTTCACTCCCACTCTTCACTTTTACTTTCTCAAATAAACTTTACCGCTGCTTAAAAACAAAAGTACGAACTGAATTATATATTGCTGGTGGAACTATAATTTGGCGTAATTTTCCTGGTACAGCCTGGTGATTATGTCTCAGAAACTTAAACAGTATAAATACCCTTTGACACCATCATTTCTCTTGTAGTATGTAATAACGTTTTCCTTGCTGCTGCATGGGGTTAACAAGGCATGTTGTAGCGCTTTAGTAACATCCCCTTGCCAACCCCATGCGGTGACATGGAAGATGTGTATTACTATATTACAAGTAAAGGTGGCTACAAAGTGATACTATAATGATGAAGCTTTGTATAGGAGAAAAACATTTAAAACAATTAATAGACTTAGTTCTGCTCACAGTGTTGGAGGCTTCAGTGCATGCTTGGCTGGTTTCCGTGCCGCGGAGCGTCTTGCAGGCAGGGTGTGGTGGAGCAGAGCTGCTCATCTCACGCCAGCCTTGAGATGAGATGAAGGGACCAGGACCAGGCTCCATCCGCAGTGCCCTGCCCCATGGTCCATTCCCGCAGCAGACCCCACCTCCTATTTCCATGCCCTCCCAGTAATGCCATCCGGTTGTGATCTCATTAGTGGATGAGATGGTGACGTTAGTGTCCTCATGATTCTGTTATCTCCTAAAAGCCCTCCCTCTGAACACAAGAGACTTTTTATTTTGAGGCAGGCTTTCACTGTGTAGTTCAGCCAGGTCTTGAACTCACTTTGTAGCCCAGGCTGGCCTCAAACTCATGGCAGTCCTCCTGCCTCAACCTCCCAAGTGCAGGGATTACAAGGGTGTGACACCACACCTGGCCGTGCGAGACTTCTGAGAGATATTTTAGATCAAAACTGTAACAATGAGACTGCAGGTTTGTTTTTTCCTATGTGTTTTTGGTATTTTTCACATTTTTTTCTACATTGAGTGAATATTATTTTATAATTGAAAAGAAAATCCACTTAAAAAGGGAGTGGAGGTACGTTTAGCTTCTATTTATAGAAATGTCAAAACTATTTTGTTTACAGTATAGTTCCTTCATGTGAACCTGGGTGCAAATTATAAAATTATAAAATGACTTGTGTATCTGTCCATAAGGGGAAAGTATCTTTATTCTTGTAAGGATTTTTATGTGTGTGTGTGGGGGGAGGTATATAATTTTATATATATATATCTTAATTTAGCTTTTTGCTTGTAAATGGAAACTTCAATTGTGGTAAGAATCTCTGAAATAAAAACAGAGGTGATGGTTCATGCTGTAATGCCAGCACTTGGGAAGTTGAGGCAGGGGGATCTCAAGTTCATGGCCAACATGGACAGTAAAGCAAGACCCTGTCTCAAACAGCAAAAACAATAATTTCTGAAATGAACTCTGGGAATCTGGGAATATTTTGAAGTGTCTAATGCCCTGTATATATAGTTACAAGATGTAGGAGAGCCAGATGTGGTGGTGCACTCCTGTAATCCCAGCACTCAGGGGGCTGAGGCAGGAGGATTGCTGCAAGTTCCAGCTACATAGTGAGTTTAAAGCCAGCTGGAACTACATAACAAGACCCTATCTCAGAAAAGGGGCTAGGGGGTATCACCCAGCTCCATAAATGATCCTTTGTTGTTCACACCCAAACATTTATAATTAAATGTTCTATAAATTTATGTGTAGCAGGCAGCCAGGCACAACATTGGACAACAAGTTTATGGTTCATTATTTGTCTCCTAATTACTTTTTAAAATTCTTTTTAGGGAAGGTGGTTCTATGCTCTGTTGGCTTGCCTTGAGAAACCTTTACTCCCCGAAGCTCACTCCCTGATTCGGCAGCTCGCAAGAAGGTGCTCTGAAGTGCGGCTGGCAGTGGTGAGTTGTGACCCACTGCTGCACGGTGACAGCACCCGCCCCTTCTGGGGTAGTGGGAGGAGATTCCAGTGAAATGCAAAAGTGTGACGTGTCTCATGGCCTGGGCTTGGGTCAGGCCACAGAATGGAAAAGCCCAAAATAATAATTATAGCTTAAATAAAAAGTAGATGTTCTCACAAAAAGGAAGCAAGTTAGATGGGAGAAGACGTAACCCTGACCTTTGGGCTCTGCCTTCATGTGTGTCCCATCCTTGTTTTACTCCATTGGTGTTGCTGGGACAGAATACCTGAGGCCGGCTGCCTTACACAGCAGAGAGGTCCCAGAGTCAAGGGCCTCATCTGATGTTCAGCCTTCTGACTACTTTACGAGTGGCCAGTGGCAGGAGCACATGAAGAGCAGTGAGTGGTGCATGTTCAAGAGGGGACACACCAGGCCCACATGAAAACCCCCTGTCCAGTACTAATTGAGCCCCAGGAGAGCCGAACCCCTGCTATACAGCATTCATCATTAATCTTTCTGAACAAGGATCTTTCTTTGAAAAGTGATCTTAAAAGCCAGGCATGGTAGTGCACACCTGTAGTCATAGCTACTTGGAAGGCTGAGGCAGGAGGATTATAAGTTCAAGGCCAGCCTGGATAATTTAGTGAGCATGTCTCAAAATTAGAAAAAGAAAGTAAAGCAGGGCTGGGGTGTAGCTCAGTGGTAGAGTGTTTACCTAGCGTGTGCAAAGCCTGGGTTCAATCCTCAGTGCTACCAAAACCATGTTTATTAAGACACCATTAACTCTTAATGTTTTCTCTTTCTTTCATGTTTTATATCTGAAAAGGAAACTTATTTCAAAAATATTAGAGAAGAAAAACTATGTTTAAATTTTTCTGTATTTTCTTTTCTTTAGGACACCAAAGATGATGAAAGGGTTCCTGCTTTGAATTTATTAATCTGCTTGGTTAGCAGGTATAGTTAAGTAATTGTTGGCTTTTTCCTTATTTATCTGAGGTAGAACATAGTTTTCTTGCGTGTTTATGTTATTAACTGCCTGGGTCCCTTGTTCTTTTTCAGTTCAGGTACATTTTTAGTGTATGTTTGGTTTAATTTTTTATACCAGTGTTCCCCTGGAATTTCTTTGAAAAATTTTTTATATTCTATATTCTATATTCTGGTGCAACATACACCGATTTGTGTTAGGTCTCTTCTGGGCAAATTTTTGTCCCATTGATCCGTGTTCTTATTCCAGCGACAGTACACAGCTTTTGAAGCTGTCTACTTGAGTATCAGGAAGGTAAACAGTCCTGTGTCCATTCTTCCCTCCTCCACACAAGACATCCTCGCAGAATACACACAAATCCTACATCTAGTTTCCTGATCTGTAATAATTCTGCTGCTTATCATAACTCACAGTTCCTGGGTACTTGCACCAAGCATTTTTCTTAGCCTGTCATACTAGGAACTCATTTCCTTGTTCCTCATAATGTAAGGTACATTATCAGTACCATGGAGGAAGCTATGGAGAAAGAGATGAAATCACTTTCTTGGTGTCACAATCTAGTAGATCATAGAACTAGGACCCAAACTCCAGCAGCTTTACTCCAGCAAGGAGGTCCAGCCTGCAGGGTTTCACTGTGCAGTTCAGGCTGGACTTGAACTCCCTTTGTAGCGTAGGCCAGCCTTGAACTCAACAGTGATCCTCCTGCCTCAGCCTCCCTAGTGCTGGGATTAGAGGGTGCACCACCACACCCAGCTTCACATACTGTTTTAAATCTGTTTTCTTGTTAGTTTTGTTTCTTTTGGTAGTGTAAGGAACTCACCTGAATTTAACTAGCTCATATATTTTATAAATTAGAATACTTCTTTTAGGAAATTCATCCCTGGGTGGGTTTAAAGCTCTTTTCACTAATTCATTAATAATTGAAGCTTACTCTGATAATAATGACTCAAATATATCAATCTTTTAATTTTTTTAATGAGTTTGGGGATTGAACCCAGGGCTTTTGCACTCAGCTATAGTGCATAACAATTTTAAAAATTGTTTTATTTTGAGGCAGGGTCTCACGAAGTAGCTGAGTTGCCCGGGCCAGGATGGAATTTGTGATCCTCTTGCTCTAGCCTCCTGGAGTGCTGGGGCTGAAGACGGCACCGCCACGCCTGGCTGCAGTCTCTTCATCCTCACCACACTTACAGTAAATCAGTATAGTGTCTTTGATTTCAAGTAATAAAGACTGGGGTACTAAAGCTCCTTTTGCGCATTCGTGTAACAAGTATTTAATGAGTGCCTTTTTTCTAGGTGCTATAAAGGCAATCATACAACATTTGAAGAAGTAAATTGGGCATGGTGGCTTATGCCGGTAATCTCAGCACACTGGGAGACTGCAAGCAGGGGGATTGCAAATTTGAGCCCCACCTGGGCAATTTCACAAATTACCAAGATCTTAACTCAAAAAATTATAGGTCGGGCATGGTGGCACATGCCTGTAATCCCAGCACTTGGGAGGCTGAGGCAGGAAGAGTGCAGTGAGTTTGAGGTCAGCCTGAACTGCATAGTGAGACCCTGTCAAAAAAGAAAATTTAAAAGGATGTAGCTCGATGTGAAACGCTGGGTTCAATCCCCCCCCCAAAAAAAAGCCAGGCATGGTGGCACACACCTGTAATCCCAGCACTCTGGGAGGCTGAGGCAGGAGGATCATTGCAAGTTTGAGACCGGACTGAGCTACAAAGTGAGCTCCAGGCCAGCCTGAACTGTATAGTGAGACCCTGTCTCAAAAAGACTTAAAAGAGGGGCTGGGGATTTCGCTCAGTGGCAGAGCGCCTGCCTGGCAAGCACAAGGTCGTGAGTTTGATTCCTGGTACCAGAAAAAAAACCAAAAAACCAAAAAAAGACTTAAAAGAAGAAGAAGAAAACCAATAACAAAAAACAGTAACTGCTAATTCATAACAATAATCTACTGACTGAAGTCTTATTCAACTAGATCTTAATTATTTAAACAGTGGTAATTATCTTTTTTAAACTTCTTCTTATGGAGAGTTTCACATACAAACATACACTAAATCCCCAGGCTCATCCAACACCTAGCGTCAATATCAGCAGGCCTGGTGTTTTATTTCTCTGCATCTTCTTAAGTGAGTTTTAAACAAATCCCAGACGCTTCTCCCGTTTTGGGTCTGTGTGTAACTGATAAGTGCTTTTCAAGAACGTGACTGTAACCCTAATGGCAAACCTAAGAACGTAGTGGTTCCAGGGTATTATCTGCTGCCCAATACGTTTCATATCCCCCAGTTGTTCCCAAAATGTATTTTACATTTAAGTTTTTAAACCAGGACCCTGGTTTTTTCAACACTTGGTGTTGAAATAAGTGGGTCATTTGACGGTGCAGTTTCTCCTGTTGAGGAGTGACTCCGCGGTGTGAGTGTGCTCCCGTGACCCCCATGCAGTGTACAGAGGAGGCTGGAAGGACTTGATGACGTGCAGTGGGGCTGTTTGACAGGGCTGCGCGGGTGCTGCTGGGCACAGGACGTGTAGTAGTTCACGGAACGTGCAGTTGGTAGCAGCAGCGTTGATCACTGTGTCCCTTCCTGTTGTCTACTGGCTTTGCAGCTGCTGATTGTTGCTTAAAACTTACTTCATTAAAGATTTTAATGCTGGGTGTGCTGGCACACGCCTTGTAATCCCAGCACTCAGGAGGCTGAGGCAGGAGGATTGTTGCAGGTTTGAGACCAGCTTGGGCTACAAAGGCCAGCCTCAACTGCATAGCGAGACCCTGTCTCAAAAAGACAAAATAGGGCTGGGGATTTTGCTCAGCAGCACAGCGCCTGTCTGGCAAGCGCAAGGTCGTGAGTTGGATTTCCAGTACTGGGGAAGTGGGGGGGATCAAAAGGACAAAATAAATAAAATTTTAAAACGGAAAAACTTCCCTCGAATAGTTTATTTACACTGAGGTACAGATTATTTATTCCTTTTTGAGGTACAATTTACACAAAAAACATTAGTTCCTAATTTTTAGACTACTGAGAGGTGGCATGGTAATTTCCAAAGGTGATCAGTAAGGTTCTAATTTTTGGTTTTTGGGGTTTTTGTTTTGTTTTGTTTTGTTTTAAGGTTATACTTTTGGATTATCATTTTGAATTGAGGAATTTTAACATCAGATATATGTCAATTCATTATAGTTGTTTTTTTTAAATGCTGAAATTGTTTCATCTTTGACCAGTGGGAGCACTTCAAATCAATTTCTTTCTCTCCTCTCTCTCCCTCTCTGTCACTGTGGGTGTGGTGGGGGAATATGGAGGCTCAAACCCAGGACCTTGAGCATGCTAGGCAAACACCCTATCCCCAAGACCTTCTATCTCCATTTAACCAACCCTTGGCAGTTTTTTTTTTTAATTAATTTATTGGTACATTTTACTTATACAAACTGATCACATTCATCATAGGGAATTTGTACTTATATAAGGTATATCTTGATTTTTTTCCCCATTCCCCTC